GCAGTATGGAATCGATGTGAAAGCGAAAGATAACCAAGGCCAGACGGCCATGATGCTGGCCACGAAAAAAGGGAGCAAAAGCTGCATCGATATTTTGCTCCAGCACGGCTGCCCCAACGAGACGTCGCCCACCGCCGCCACGCCCATCCTCAGTCGCCGCTCCAGCACCGCCAGCCTGGGTCGGACCAGCTCCAGGAAACGGTAGCGTGGACTGAAAACGCTGCCACAGAAAACATTTTTAATGTGTGGAAACGGGCAGAGCTGATCGCGGAGAGGGGTGTAGTATAACGAAATGACAGCACTGGATATCATTAGTATAACGGATGAAAAACATTGTTTCTGAAGACTGAACAACATATCAAACCACTTAAAAAGCAATATTCATTCAATTTGTTGATTGCAGGCATATTGCTGAGTTATTGTGCCGTTGACCTCATTTCAAAATGACTCAAGTAGACCTGTAGCGGACTGCTTCTGTTTCACTTCCTCTGCAAGAAGTGCAATAATTCAGCTACGATGATGAAAAGCAACAAATTTTAGCGCAGATGACTCAACTCAGTGCATCCAGAGGGTGATGCTTTTATTCAGACCTGCTGTGACTGGACCAAAACTGCTACTTTTTTTTTCTTCCTCGGCTTAAACCAACAATATGTCATGGTGTTAGTTATGTGAGCCTGTCAGTTCGACTGTATAAACTGTTTTCCAGCAACGAATCAGCTGAGATTATTCTACTTAGACTAGAAAAATGAATGGTTTGGAGTATGACCTATGTCAGTGTTAGGACCACAGGTCCGAGATATGACGTTTTATTCTACTATAAATGTATCTAGACTACATGCTTAATGTTAAACTCTGTAACGAAGACACAACTGAAAAAACCAGACTGCATTTTGTAGTGATTTCTTACTGGTAGTTCTAAAAGCTTGTTTTGTTTTGTTTTCCATTGTCTTTTATAATTTCTTATTCTCTCACATGTCATAAAGCAGTAAGCGGATGGTTTTACAAGTATGTAAACATGTGGATAAAGTTTTATTTGGGATATCGAGAGCGGATACGTGAAGACTGCGACATAATTCACATTCATCTTACTGTTGTGTAGGTCGATCCCATGAGTTTACAGTGAAGCGGCCGAAGGTGAGTCATGTGAGTCCCTCATGAGCTAAAACAAATGGTTACCAGAATAAAGTAATAAACTTTTTTTTAAATAAGCATTAAAAAAATGTTGTTTTTATTGTCTTTGTGTGTCTGCTGCACAGATTTATTTGACTGTTTTTAGCAACATTTGGGTCAGAGTGGT